GACACATTAAGTGACATTAGCAGTGACTAAGTTCTGCCTTCCCTACATTTCCCTCACCTGGTAAGAGAAGCAGCCTTATCCTAGGCAAGACATCGTTTCTACCAGGGAAAACATTTTTGGTCAAGAAAGAAAATTGAGGCACCAAACCTCAGGTCTCCCTTTGAAAGCTAGGAATGGTCTTCCATTTTGGCTTTGTGGCATTCTATGTCATTTTGGTGCAATCCAAATGTCCACTGATATAACTATAATTGACAATTCAAAATGACTCTAAAGGTTAGATTTTAGGGTTTAGAAATATTTCAACACCATAACTCTATAGACAATTCCCACTAATCTGTGCTTAACCTGTGTAACATGTAATGTCTAAATGACATCAACTAATTGGCAGAATTCATTTATCAAAACATTAACAAGTGTTGCCATTAGTCTCAGCTTATCTTAAATTGCCTTTTCTGAAGAAATGCTCTTCTGAAAGATAGAAAAATACAAAAAAATCATATCAGTTTGTATTTCACCTAGACTTGTTCTTTTCAAGATCCTGAATAGAAACACAGTCTTGGAAAAATAGCTACATATTTCTGAATATACATTTGAATTTTTAAAATGTTTCTTTGCCTTTTTAATTCACACTATAAAATGAGCCTTTTTTTCCAAAAAAATAAAATAAAATAAATGCATATTCCTGCTTTTAGCCAATGCTGGAAAAGTGTGCATTTTTGAAAAACACTCACACAAGTGCTTTTATCTTTAGAATTAATGAAAATCTTGTCATAGAAGTGAGCCATACTGAATGTCAAAGTGAAAATTTGAATGAACACACTATTCTCATTCCCCATTCCCACTAAAAGGTAGTCATGAAATAAATGGAACTGTAAAATATTTGCCTCTCTCTTTTCTAAGACTGTGGTTTGTCTCATCTATATATCTTCAAAGTGGAGTGGCGGTAGAGTGGCAAAGTGACAGAGCAGTCCCTCAACATTAACTGAGTGTGGACTTAGGATCACTTGGATTTTCAGCTTTGATCTCAGAGCTGGAAATTAGTGTTACAGTCCTCCTTCCCTGCCCCCTCTCAGCATGGAAGGAACTGCACCAGATATTCTTTAAGGTTGGGCACTTGACCCAGGAGAAGATATAAAAGGGCAAGAAAGAGAGGAAGATAGAACTGCTTCAGCCTCCTCCTGGAAATGCCCCAACCAAATGTCCAAAATGGCTTTCTGGGAAGGGAAGGGAAGCTGAAGTAGAGGCAGACAAAGATCACTTCTCTTGCACCTCCCACTTTGCACTGGATGCCTCAAACCTTCCAAGTTCATAGGATTACAGGCATCTTCGATTTCATTGTTCTGTAAACTTCAAATCAAAAAGTCCCTAGTTGGAATCTTGTCCATTTAATTAACAGCTGCTTAACTCTTAGCCTTAGAACCCTATGCACAATCTAGGCATAGCAACACACATAAGTGTTGTAAGAATTGCAATAGATCATGTATGTGAAATGCTCTGAACTTTTGGAAGCTCGATGAAAATGCTTGCCATTACTGACCATTCCCAACCTTCCACTTTTCCTTTCATTAGTATGAATGACTAGGAATTCACAGAGAATGACAGGGCATCCACAGACAGATCATGGTAGCATGCAGAGATTCAATTTTGACATTAGCAGATCAGATCTGAATGTCAAACTGGCACTTAATTTAAATCAAGAGTTTATGCCATAGCCACCAAATGAAGGCATTGACGCACAGCAGTACATCGCCTCATGAATGAGGTAATTTTCACAGTACATTTCAGAATTTAGCTGGGTTGCCTCACAACTGAAAAAGGAAGCAGTGCACAAAGTACCAGGAATCCTCTTCTTATTACTGATCCATGATCAGAGAAAACCAGGGAATACTATGCTTTTCTGCTTCCCAAGCCCCCAGTAGCCAGGCTTGGGGTGAGGGCTTGGGCAGGAAAGTGGGTAAGACTAATGGGATCTTTGATTGGCTGGTGTTTCTCCATCTCTATTTTATAGTTTTGTATTTCTGGCTGCAGTAGGCAATATTCTCTTCCTCATACTGCCCATAATTAGTCTCCCTGGCCTAGTTTGTATAGCCAGACAGATTCTGTTGATCTGAACATGCTATGTAAAAGTCTGTAGTTCTTTTGGAAAGTATTTGTTAGGTTCATGCAGAGTGAGTAACTGACTTTCTTTACTATCCTGGAGACTGAAGATATCAGCATCAGGATTTCCTGCAGCATTACTCAGTGCAGTGACTGAAAAATGGATTTTTGGTCATAGAAGCATGAGATTTAGGCCTGCAGTAGTACATAGCAACATAGTGTGACATAGCTTTAACTGCATCTGTTCTGCTTCACCTCTGCATAACAAACTTTTTTTTAATATTCTTATAGCAGTGTTTTGGGCTGAGTATTGATGTGGAACAGAGGGTCCACCTCCTCCTTTCCTTTCAGTATAGCGTTGTATTTTGTCTGAAATCATCTAGGTCTGTGATCTAGGTCTGACCTTCAAACATTCTTCAGCGTTCCCAGTATGTATTATTTCTTTCAAGATGGAAAAATAATATTAACACCAGAATTCTATCTTCCCTCAGTCCTACATGGTCCAACAGTATCTAGCCCTTATAAAAACCTTTAAAAACCAAGAAATGCTTGAAAAAATGTGATTGTTAAGCCGCACTTTTCCAGATCCTTTTCTCTCATTGGTTTATAATAACACTTTCAGAGGTTTGATAGTCTTAGTTTGTTTATATGAAATGCTGAAGCAAAAAGCAAAAACAAACCTGGAAGTTCCTCCTCCTTTCCTTCCTTTAGCTTTGCTATTCCTTTCATAATACTCAGAGTGGAGTTCATGTAGCATTTTTCTGTTTTCCTGTAACTTGACTCTCCAATCATTTTTTTTTTTAGTCCTGTGATTTTTGTATACTACAATTTAAAATATATAAACTTTGCTATATCATATGGGCTAGTTTAAAGCCCTGTCCAGGCATTCACTGCGGATTTGGGACCATGGCTGAGTCTTCATGGGTGGGTTCAAGAAACACAACATGCAATGGACTCTGGAGAGGTGTAATGCAAATTGGTCTTTCGTGTCATCAGAACACTGTTCTGGTATTTCAGCAAGTACATTTGGCTTTGAGAAACAGAAATGGCAGTGGCCTCCCAGAAAGCACTACTGATTGCTGCCCTTTTGCATGTCTCTCAGAGAGGTCCCCATTCTTCCTGGCTCATACCTGAAATCTCCTTTGGCACAGGAGCAAGTGACCAGCTTAGTTGGCTCTGGAGGAAGAATAGCACAGTTCAGCTGATTCCCTCTTCAGCTACTCCCATGCAGACAGGAGCCCCAAGAAGCAGCTGGGTGGAAGTGCCCAGTGGGGGCTATGCACCTCAGTGGAGTCCTTCTGTGCCACCCCATCACTTGTGCAAGGGAGTGGCTCACACATGTAAGTTAGAGGGACAAGAAGCATCTGGGTGGTGGTGCCCATGTTCAGAGTGCACACTTTAGTATGTTTCCTCATTTTCCCCCTTTCTTGCTTCAACTTCTCAGAGAGGCACCCTCAACCTGGCACCTGGAACCCAATGCTCAAGTTGTCCTGAGGATTGAGGGAAGAAAATGACAGATGGCTGGAATCACTATGAGTCTGATCATCTTTCAGACACATCTACAGGGTTGTTGTGATGTGTGAACTCAGCTCAGTGCCTGATTTGTACAGAGACCTATGTACAGTTCATATTCTCTGTGTTTTAAGGGTTTGGATTGTACCTAAACCCACTTGAAAACAAGAATTTTATATAGCTAGGGTGACCAATGCCTTTTTAATACATGACAATCCTCTGTTTGGAAGTGCCTTCTTCCTGAAGTGCTGGAGTATCCAATTCATGTTTAAAGATAAAGAACCGTAAGAACTGTTGACTATCAATACTTAGCAAATGGATAGCAGGCTGGACAGGCAGACACACAGGTCATTTACCCATTCTGGAAAGAAACATTTAATCTCATTTAAATAATTGTCTGAATGTGCATCTGTGCATATACTTTATCATATACAAATGTTATGCAGATCAGTGTCATATTTTGTACCAGGTTTTTTGGTAATGCATTTCCTTTTGGGTGTAATTAATATGTGGACAGAGATGAGATCAGCACAAGTGATCCAAATTCCTTCTTCTTTTTGAGTGCTAAGTCTGCTCTTTGAGACATTCTGCCTGAGGAAGTGCTCTGTACCTGGCTGCAGTTCATTCTAGTCTTAGTGCTTGAGAGGAGTTTGCCGCATGGAGTACCGGCCTTCAGATTCTCACCAACTCTGTAATTCTAATAATAGTTAATTGCATAGGAGTATATTTTTTCTTCAGATATGAGGAACAATCTAAAAATAAGCCAATATTTTGCCTCTAGGAGGCCACAGATGGATGATGTATTGAAGGCTTAAAGAGTCAGATTTGCAAACTGACTTTGACTGGAATAGAATTTAATTTCCACATTACAGAAGATTGCTAAATAAAATATTCATGCTAAGTATAAAATTGCAGGCCATAATCTAACACAGAACAAAGCTCATTGAAGCCCATTGATTTAAATGTGCTTAAGCGCACTTAACTTTGTGTTGGATTGTGGCTGCAATTTTTATTCCTTATTAATAGGAACAGTTCTCACTGAGATAGAAGGGCATAGCAATGAACAGTGCAATCTTGGCCATGTCTCTCCCATTTTTTCAAATGGGTATTACTCCCAGGTAAGTGGGAATAGAATTTCAACCTAAATAAACATATTGCTGATTTCTGAATGGAGTTAAATTCGTCTGAATTCTTCTGGAATTTTCTTGAATACTGTGCACAGTATTGAGATAAGAGAGCTACAGCAATACAGTGTCAGTAAGACCAAACCTCATTCTTAATTTCTAAAGTTGTTTTTCTGCAAAATCAAGAAAACATTATGATAATCTCTTTTATCTGTATCTGTCTGTATCTTGTTTCTGCTTTAGGGAACAGCCTTGGAGAACTGGAAGATGAAAGCTCCTATTCCTCACTTAATCCTTTTTTATGCTACTCTTGTTCAGAGTTTGAAGGTTGTGACCAAAAGGGGCTCAGGTAAGAAGACTTCCTTTCTTCTTTCTGCTATACACAACAGTGTGGTTTTGACAATACATGTAAAAGATAACTTTAGAAACACACCTTCCCTCCATCTCGAACAGAGATAAGCATCCCCTGAATAGCTAGTTCTGTAGCCTATATAAACACTTGCTTTCCATAGAAAAAGTATGGAATTTTCATGAGTGTGTTTCACTCAGCTTCTAAAGCCATATCACTATTAGTGATCTGATATTTTGGCACATGAGGAAAAATGGCAAAGGCTTGGAGGGTAGGGAGGAATAATAGTATGCTTGGTTCTGCTCTGATTTGTCCATTTGAAGGTGAAATTTAGGATTAGGGGGATGTGGAAAGCCCTTTAAAATCCTCTATGTAATCTTTCACATTGCCCCCTCCCACCCCCAGGATTTGTATCCAAGACGTTGCTGGTGAGGTTGCTTTATTTCTAGATTATCTCAACCAATCAAGGATCCTTACAAGACCCTTTCCCATGTCACACACTGGAAGGTTTTGCACAAGGAAAATAGTGGTGACCTCTTTTCCTTGCCTCTGTGTGTGTCACTTCTGCATATCTGCCTCATTAACTTAATGGGAGCACAGTTTGTCATGTCACTTGACAAGGTGTGCAGTGGCATTGACCTGAATCCATCCAGAATCCATGGCTTATTGTAAGTTACTGAGGTAGTTTCAAAGCTGCCTACATCTGCACACTTTCACCAGTTACAGGCAAAATGGCAAGCCATGCACTTCAAGGATATTAGGCAAATTGTATGGCATGTTTAAAGCACATTCAGAGATGGGGAAAAGTCACCGTGGTATTTATTTTCCTGATGATCATGTGAACCTTCCCAATGGAGATGGGTGCCTTGCCAATGAAATACATGCTCGATACATGCATATGACCACTTGGAGATCATCTGTGAAGGAAATATTATATGTATAGTTTTATTGTGTTATCCCATCCAGAGAGCCATGTGGCTAATGGGGTAGGTTAGAAATCCAATATATAAATATGGAAAATGAAGCCCTCAAATTGTTTTCAGACTGAAGGGGGAGGTGAGGTCCTGAGTACCTGTAAGTGAGACAACAGGGTTACTCTACACTGCTCCACAGCATCTTGGCAGTTCGATTGCCATCCACGCTACATGGTAAAAATCTTCCTGACCCATCACTAGTTTGTGAAGTAACATGTTACTAGTTGTGGCAGAATGCAGCCAGATGAGTCAGATCTATGAATGCTTAATATACAACTAGAAAGATGGCATGAGGGAAATATTGGTGAATTAACCTTGGTCATTGGTGAATTAAACTTGGCCAATATTCTGTAACACTACTCCTTGTGATCATTTCTACCATTTTACAAATGGATGTGAAACATGGCTGAAAAGAGAAGTGGCTTTCACAGTGAAAAAAAGGTTCTCAAATTCCTGTGCTAATAACCAATATGCTAGCTTCCTCAGAACATTATCTAATATTGGAATTCTAAAGAGAAGATGACCAGGTCAGCCTTCATGGTAAAATATGTGTGTTGTCTGACTACATTTTTTAAGGATGTGTGCTTGAATTTTCCTTGAACTTTTCTTGAACTGAATGTTCCTTGCCTTTGTGACCTTACGGTTGTTGGTTTTACCTATAAAGTTCTTCATGTTACAGCTTATTTTATTGTAGTCCAGATTCAATGGTGTTCCTTAGCCTTATCTTTGTAAAAGAGTAGAGATGGCTTGGAATGGCTTTCAACTTGCCTCAACATAATAATAGCTAGTGTTCATTGTGTTGTGTTTAATAAAACTTTGCACTAAAATGATGCATTGCCCTGGTTTTATTTTCTAGTTGAGGTTACTGTTTAATATCATAGTATCTGTGAAAGAACAGCATTTGTCTAATAAAGTATCTACTATACTTTAATCAAATGAAGATAATCTTTTATCTTGGTGTAAAGGAATTATTATAGGAATTATTTTTTGCCATGCTTTTTTTTTTTTTTTTTTTGCTTTTTGTACTGCATTGATCTCATTACTTTGTTTGCTGTTGAATTTTTAACTTTTAGCTAAGGAAAAAATAGTATTTTGATTGTTGAAAACAGTCATTTCAACAAAGCAATGGCATGTGTGTAATCCTTTTGTAGACTGAAACGTAGTGGTACTAACTATATTTGCATAAAATTTGGATTCTAAAAGTACATGTTCTACATTTTAAAAAGAGAGCCAGTTTGGCAGGGTATAAATCTAATAAATAAAAAATCTAATGAATAAAAATAAATAAGAAGAGACCCAGTTTGGCAGGAAATAAATCTAATAATTTACCAAGAAAATTAGTGATGCGTCTAGGAACAATGGTTAGATCCTGATTTAATCATACTGAAAACAAGTAAGTCATGAATAACTTAAATCACATTGCTTTCAATGAATCTACTGCACATATAACTAAATCTGGATAGAACCCGAAGAATTATGTAAGGTTAAGAACCAATGATCTGTTTGGATTTGAGATTACACAACCTTACTGATGACATATAGTTTCCTCTTTGAGTTAAACATTTTTTTGAGAGAGTTTGGCTATCTAGTGTTTCTTAACATTAACCCTACCCCTGTACAAAAGAAAGTTGGGGCAAGACAATTAACAAAAATCCGATTCATGTTATTCAGGTGTTTTGTGTTTTTTTTTTTGGTTGGGGGGGTGATCATGTGCTGGTTGCAAATTTTCTGATGGCTTGATTGTTTGATCACATATTTTGATATCCAGTAGTTTTTAAATGTGAAAGACATAAACAATACTACTCTGTACTGATTTCAGATTTATACATGGCCACCTTTTCATATGTGTCTCACCATTTGCAACATGGATTAATTATCCATAACAATCTTTGCCCACTCTCTCCCTTAACCCAGCCTCTCAATGTACACCCATCACTGAAATAATTGTTATTTATATTATTAAGTGGAAAATGTTAATCAATATATTACTTATTTCGAATTGTGAACAAGTTTATTGAGTTTGAAATGGCAATTCTAATCTGTTAATGACTGTGAATGGAAACCAGGGCATGTATAATTTGTGATCTATTAATGTTTAATACTAAGGTGTTATATTGTACGCAAGTATAAGTACAAGAAATTCATTTTCATTTCTAGCCTGTAATCCTCATTACTTGAGCATAACCAAACAAGCTCTTTCACTTTACAAGGCAGAATTGGTTAATATTCTGAAACTCTCTTTCTGATTACTGTTACACAAATTTGTGACATCATTAAAAGAAGAGACTTTACAAATCACAATTCAGCTAGATGCTTCATTTTGCACCTTTCTCTTGTACAGTTCACATGTGCACAAAGTTGGTGCATATAGTCTATGGGAAAATTCTCACTATTTGGAAAAGCTAGTGCAAATCAGGGAAAGATAAGCATAATTCTAAAACACTGTATGGCATATTAATATTGCTAAAAGTATTACTGCATGAAATAGATGCTACATTAAGTGTTACCTGGTACTTAAGATATACATAATGGGGTGCACAACTCAGTCAGATTTGAGGAAAAGAGAATTTCCACATTGAGAAAGTGGAAATAGTGACAATTACATTATTAACAGTGGTCATTGACAAAATAGGTGTTCCTGAAAACACAATATGGCAATTCATAAGCAGTGATTTTTGAGATTTTTCTTTTTCTCTCTCTCTCTTTAAAAATTATCCTGATAATTTTAAAGATACAAGAAACATAACTAATGCTTTTGATGTATTGTAATTCAGCACTTTGTCATTCTAATCTCCATTTCAAGTTCCTTTGTTCATGAATGCTCAGTTGCGAAGGACATTCATGAAATGCTATAGTGAGGTTCATATATGTAGGTAGCTGTGAACAGGTAGTCTGTACAAGCATTTAATTTAAAACAAAACTCTTATGCTGCCCCTTTAAATAAAATTTATTTAATATTTAATTTATAACAAAACTTTTATGTAAGCTGCTAAGACAACTTCAACTTTTATGAAGTTGTCTTAGCAGCTTACATTAAGCATAAAGTAAATGAGGCCAGTGGTATTCTTTGCGAATATAGCAGTCATTGCCTGTTCAATGTCTACATTGTTCAGAAACTGAACATGCCATGAGCTTCCTGAAAGATTTGGGACCTAATAGACCTATTTACAGATTTGATCAAAATCTGGGTTGAGTCTAGGACACAGCCATCTTGCCTATGATGTCAAGATAGGCAGCTTCATAACTAGCAGGGCCTGATTGTGTTTGACATCAGAGAAGGGGAAGTGTCCAGAATGACATAAGTGCTAACATAAATAACATTGAGCTAGCATTAAGGGCTTCTAATATAATCCCAATAGCCTTTTTAAAATGAGGTTTCCTGAAAAATTGCCAATTTCCTATTGGCATTGCACCAGAAGTCTCTTACACTGGTTTTGCACTCATGCTGCATTAGGTATTGCCACATATTTATAGGAAGCATCAAGTTTCAAACTAAGTACTTTAGCCTCTGCATCAGGTTGCTTGTCCATTTCCTGTGTTTCCTGTGAGAAAACTCATCACACTTCTTCCTAATTAATCACAGAACATGATCAAAATGTATTCACCCAAAATCTGGTTGAAGGAGTGGTCATGAAACTCATTGCGTATTTTCATTCTCCACAAATGCTTGAAGGAGAAAAGTTCTAAGAAATCTGTTCTTATATGAAAATGCATTGCAATAGTGCTTAGCATTCTTAATTATTTTATTTTGTTAATACAATACCAGATACTTTCAAAATAGGTTTTATTTTGATCTTACCTTTTGTATGTGTGTTCTATTCATTTGACAAACTGAAATGAACATTGTTTACCCAGGTTTGATTTCTGTACTTTGTAATTTTTTCTGAACATTGCAAAAGAGCTAGTTACAAGTAGGGCAATGTGATGTTTCAGTGTGTGTTTTTTACCTCTCCATAATAAAAAGTGAAGTTCTTTTAGGCAATTCAAAGCACACACGTTGTGTAAACAAACATACAAAACTTTGCT